TTTCTTAATCTGTCAACGTGTGTAACACAATTAATCCATATCTTAGATTACGCCAACAAAGGGTTAATCTCCGCCCAACTTGTGGTCTCTGAGCTTTACTTGAACCACTGGAAGAAGGAACGTGCGAACCTGACATACAACCCAATTCTGCTTTTAAAAACACAAATGATGCCGCAAATACAGGTCGAACGGGATGTGAACATCCAGAGATTGACTCTGCTGTGTCCTTACCTCCCCGCCATACTGTTGTTTTTCTGCGTGTTTACCACGGCGCTGATTGTTGAGGAAAAAGTTTCCAATATTAAGGTAAATTTGCCGTTCCGGTCAGGCTACGCCCTGGCTTCATATAACAATCAGACTTGTTTCGTTTGTGAAATGTAATCATTTTATAAACCAAAAATAAGTAAATTTTAAAATGTAAATATTTTATTCTCTACAGCAAGATCACTTTGTTCTTTTACGAACAGTATATTTCTTCCATAACCACCTAGATTAAAAATAAAAATGTCTATTCTATATACTCCTTTTTTAAAACATCTTATTTTATTACAAGTACATTCAAGATTTGACTTTATTTTTTTTGTAAACTAATTTTGAGATTAGTTTTTTTGTCGGGTGTTCTCAAGAAATCCTTATCGTTTGTACCTAAAACTCATGTATGAGTCGACTGCAACACAAATGTATCTTCTCAATTAACCGTTAATTTAGAAAGCAACAGAAATGACTAAAAATGTCTCAAACAAAGTTGTTTCCCCGAGTCGAGTGTGTGATTGCATCTGTATGATGTCCATACAAAAGTTTCTGAGGCGTTTGTTTTTAAAAATTATTGACCTATATTAGTTTTTTCCTAAAATGTGAACTAGGCAGTTAAATTTAACTTTCTGAATTCAACCGAGCTGGATTTTCTACGGTACGCTGGTTAATCTTTCTATACCCATCTTGTCTAAACTTATTCATCGCGAGATTGAAGTAACGGTAAACGTTCAAGGCTTAATGTTTAAACCGTCTTCAGAAAACAATGGCAGTTTGCTAGTTATTTTTTCTATACTCATTTCTTCCAAACTTATTCATCACGAGATTGAAGTAACTGTAAACGTTCAAGGCTTAATGTTTAAACCGTCTTCAGAAAACAATGGCGGTTTGCTAGTTAATTTTTCTATACTCATTTCTTCCAAAGTTATTCATCACGAGATGCAAATAACGGTAAAGGTATATGACAGATTCTTCGAACCACCCGCAGAAAATATTGGCTAGTTAATCTTTCCATACTCACCTCTTCCAAACTTATTCGTCACGAGATGAAAACAATGGCGGTATACTAGTTAATCTTTCTATATTCACCTCTTCCAAACTTATTCATCACGAGATGAAAACAATGGCCGTATACTAGATAATCTTTCTATATTCACCTCTTCCAAAATTATTCATCACGAGATGAAAACAATGGCGGTATGCTAGTTAATCTTTCTATATTCACCTCTTCCAAACTTATTCATCACGAGATGAAAACAATGGCGGTATACTAGTTAATCTTTCTATATTCACCTCTTCCAAACTTATTCATCACGAGATGAAAACAATGGCGGTATACTAGTTAATCTTTCTATACTCACCTCTTCCAAACTTATTCATCACGAGATTCAAATAACGGTAAAGGTATATGACAGAATCTTCAAACCTTCCTCAGAAAACGCTGAAGATGCTGGGACTTCGACAGCCGGTGTACTGGGGCTCCTGGTTTGTGGCCAGGTTATGTTTTGGGCTCATCGTCGCTCTGATCGTAGCTGTGTCGTGGAGCGCCAAGACAGCCAACGGGCCGCTGTTTCAAATGTACTTCATCTCCCTGTACGGGCTGATGCTTCTCATGGTGATAAATAGCCTGACGTTTTCTCTGACGCTGTCCAGCTTTTTAAACGACGGTGAGAGAATGGTTGGGATGGTATGTTTTTATGTTCAAACAAACACAACGCACACACACACAAAACACACACACAGTAGGCACGCACACAACACCCACACAGCACACCTAGACAACAAACCTAGGCAACACTCTCGCAAAACACCCACAGCCCACCCACACAACACACACACACACAACACAACGCATACACAAAACCTAATCATACAACACAAACACATAGCACACCTACACAGCACATCAAATACAACACAACCATCCACACAACCACCCACACAAAACACCCCCACACAGCACACCTACACAGCGCACCTATAACACTCACACAACACACAATACACAACACACACAGAACAACACACACACTCACTCACACACAACACAGCACACAGCACAACACACTCACACTCACACACAACACAGCACACAGCACAACAAACTCACACTCACACACAACACACTTCCCAGCAAGAAGGGGCTTGATAGTTGGGAACAACAACCAATCTAACAAAGACAACTCCAAAACCAAACGACTGCTGCCTTTAAGTTTGTTCTTGGTTGGACGAAGGCTATAAGAGCATCCAGAAAGAAAAGCATGCCAAAATCAGATTCAGCAGACCACATAGCACATAAAACATCAATACGTGATATTTAATTATAGACCAATCGTTAAAAATATATATATATATAAGCCACTGGATTCACCATTTAAAAATAAAACAAGGTATTGAAATGAAACATTTTTCAACAAAACAAGATTGGTAATCCTTAAAAAAAGTCTGTTAATTAAAACATAACTAATACGATTTAGAAGATTTATCCACTATTTAAAACGAGGACATTTTTTTTTTCTTATCGACAGGCTCGCTTGCTGGTCTTTACGCATTAATCGCGTTCACCGGAGCAAATGCGATCTCCAAAATGATAGAAAGTCGAGCCGGAATATGGACCAACCATTTTGTTGGAACACTGCTGTTTTCTCACGGCATCCGGAAGTGTTTCGACTCGATGTGTGCGTCCGAAATGCAGTGTAAGTGGAGGCGAGAAACATTTAAACATTTTCTTGTTTTCTTTTTTTTTTTTACCTCAGACGAATTACTTTCAGGTATCTGATACATAATTATATAGAAAAAATATAATTTATACCGACAAAAACATAATTTGTATAGAGAAAATATAGTTAATATAGAAAAGAATATAATTTATTTAGACAAAAATATAAAAATTTATATATAGACAAAAGTAGAATTTAAAAGACCAAAATATAATTTAAAATAGAAAAAAATAGAATTTAAATAGAAATATATAGTTTATATAGAAAAAATAGAATTTATATATAAAAAAATACAATAAGTATAGAAAAAAAGTATACTTTAAACAAGTCCACCCCTTTCTCGGAAATTGTAAGTGCTCGCTTCCACCAACCACATCGAAAGTGTATCATCCCGTCCCCCAGAGAAAAATGATTAAAAGAAACCCGGACAGCGTTAGTTTGCGATTGTATTTTGTTAGTTTTAGTATAAACCTTTTCATCATCGGAATGTTCCTACCAAGCCGGGTGTTTTATTCATCTAATTGCCATGTTTACAAACAACTTACGCTGCTACTTTACGTTTAACTCTCATAAAATAAAAGTAAAGCTACCCTTTCAAACCTGACGGTCTATGGGGCAAGTGAAGTAGAGTTGACTTGTTTCTGTGACCTCGGCTTATGAAGAGATAGTGTGGTCAGCACTATGCCCAGGCGCCTTTACTTTCCCTAACGTGAGTTAGGTACCCATCAGAGTTGGGTGGACTCAGGGACGGTCTACTGACTTGAACCCGGATTCGAACTCGAGACTTACGGGTCATACGTACTTGTAATTAGTTTTTCATGATGTAAAACAAAACATAAGACATCATAAGGAATAGTACATGTTATCAACTGTACCGTCATATATATTTTGGTGGAGAAACGTAATGCTACTTTAAAGGGTGGGACAATTTCCTATGAATATGTTTGGATGGGTTGTCGCAGAGGCGTAGCGACGTTAACGGCGTTCGGGGACAAACTTTCAATTTGGCGCCCCCGCCCCATATATTTGTTATATTTATAATTAAAAAACAGCAGCTAAAATAAGCTTTTAAATTATTTGTTTCCAACCCATTTTGACACCCCTAAGGTCGGCGTTCGGGGACATATATACCCCCCCCCCGTCGGTACGCCTCTGGGTTATCCTAACTCAGTACTGATATGAGATGCGAGCTATACAAAATGTAACTCCGTAAAACGCAGGCGAAGAAGACCAGGATAGCCTGCTGCAGGAGTTTTGTGAAGGGCTGGTGTACATGTTGCTCAACACTGTGGTCAACGTGTTGCTGCTGTGTGTGGTGGAGCGGACTGGCTGTGGGGAAGGGAGATCTCTCTTTCACAGATGTTGGGTAAACATTGTGTCGTTTTGTTTAAGATATTGTGTGGAATGGTGACAGGACGAATGATCTCAGACAAAATATCCCAGACAAAATATATCAGGACTAAAGGTAACTTTAACAATTATTTCACGTGTTAAAATTGGCTAAAATCATCTCCAATGCTATAATTATTTTGCCTTGAGATATTTTTTTTGAAATATTTTGTCTGAGATCATATGTCTGAGATCATTTGTCCATTATATCATTTGTCCTGAAATGTTATGTCCTGATATCTTTTGTCCATTATATCATTTATCCATTATATCATTTGTCCTGAAATGTTATGTCCTAATATATTTTGTCCATGAGATGATTCGTTCATTATATCATTTTGTCTGGGATCAGCTATCATGGAACCTTTTGGTAGATGGAGTAGAGTTAATCCGTTTCTGTGACTACCACATATGAAGCAAAAGTGTGGTTACACTATGTGCCACCACCTCTACTTGAACTTAAAGATAAAGGGGAATTTTTTTTAAACCATCAATTGAAAAACATACGGTCGACATATCAAACGGAAGTTAAGACTCTGCCGTTCCCCACATGTACTTCTGGCACTGTTCTTTAGCATAGCTTAAACACATATACCAGCAGATTAAACAGCAGTATGATTGCGATGCAGGGGCGGAACTACAGTGCCGCCAGACCCCGCAATGCAGGGGGCCCAGGCCGTTTAGGGGCCCAAAGCCGACCGTAATAATTTTTTTTATAGTTGAAAAAAAAAATTTTCTTGTAAAAAAACAAACAGATCTACTACAGTAGTGATGTTCTACAGCAGCTAACACACGCTGTTTCGTAAAGGAAAAAAATATATATAGGCTATATGAGTTCAAACCACTTCCATGACTTATTTCCATTTTTTAAATAGTCAAATATGTGTGTTCTTAAGAAACTTTTAATAGATTTGCACTAAACAAATTAAAAAGCAATTACTTTTCTCAATTATTATTATTTGTTTAAAATACATAATAAAGAATGGCATAGCATAAACAGGAAATGTATTAAAAACTAATAATATAAATACAAAAAAACATAAAAATAAACATAAGGCGATAAACCATTACAAATACAAAGCTTTCACGCTTCATATTCTGTTGACTGACTTATAGTTAAAGAAGCAATATGTCAACCATTAAAACAGAGAATTTCAAAACAGACTAATAGCACTCACACAAATGAAGTGTTGTTGTAACATGTTTTAATTTTTAAAAAAATTTCATGTTTCAAACAAGCCCGAATAGAGTATTCCATGTACGTATTTTCGTATTTTGTTTATATATATAATATATATATATATATATATATATATATATATATATATATATATATATATATATATATATATATATATATATATATATATATATATATATATATATAAACAAAATTACAGATGTAGAGTGTGTGAATATGAGCATGTGTGTATGTGTGAGAGAGAAAGAGAAAGGGGGATTTTATATATAGAGATAGATCTAAACATAAAAAAAAAAGTTAATTTCCTTGAAAAAAATATATCTAATCTTTGAGATCGTGAAACAGAGGAACAAATCCAGCTAAAACTTAAAACTTTAAGCGTATGGCATAAATTGTTTTGTGAAAAACAAAATTCTTATTTTCTGTTGATCAATTTCTTTACGTCACACACCTTTACCATAAGCCAACTTTTCTGCTCCAATGTCTACGATCCAGAACAAGAAACGTTTGGAGGAAGATAAAGCCTCCATACCCACGATCACACAGAAAAAAGATGAGTACTTCGAGCCATTTCAAGAAAATGCAGCTGCTGGTATTGTCATTCGTGATTTGGTTAAGGTAGTGATGTAGTTAAGTAGTTATGTAGTTACGGTAGTGATGTAGTTAAGGTAGTGATGTAATTAAGGTAGTGATGTAGTTAAGGTAGTGATGAAGTAAAGGTAGTGATGTAGTTAGGGTAGAGATTTAGTTAAGGTAGGGATGTAGTTATGGCAGAGATGTAGTTAAGGTAGTGTTGCAGTGATGTAGTTAAAGTAGAGATTTAGTTAAGATAGCGATGTAGTTGAGGTAGTGATGTAGTTAAGGTAGTGATTATGGGTGTGAATTATTTAAGGTAGTGATTTAGTGAAGGTAGTGAGTTAGTGAAGGTAGTGATTTTGTTAGGATAGTTATGTAGTTAAGGTAGTAATGCAGTTGTGATAGTGATGTTGTTATGATAGGTGTTGATTTAATGTAGAGATTTAGTAGAGGTAGTGATCCTTTTGAAAGAAAAATCACATTAAATGATTCGAGGCTAATTTATGTTGTCGCGCGTACATGTTCTAAATAAATAGATAACCACATTACTGAGAACGTAGAAGATAATGACACTTTTTTTACAAGGTTTTTTTTTATGTGACGTGACTTCCATTCCCATCAGATGTACGGTCAGACGATGGTAGTTGCTGGCGTCAGTCTGGACATATACACTAACCAGATCACAACGTTGCTTGGACATGATGGTGCCGGTAAAACGACGTTAATTTCAATGATCTTAGGTAGGGATTTAAAGGTTTAGGCTCTAATTAAATTTGCTAAGGAAAGAAGTAAATTAAATTATTTACTGTCGTGTTTTACTGACGATAATTTCAATGATCTTAGGTAGGGATTTAAAGGTCCAAATAGAAGTTTTAGCTATAATTAAATTTGCTAAGAAAAGAAATAAATTAAATTATTTACTGTCGTGTTTTACTGACGTTAATTTCAATGATCTTAGGTAGGGATTTAAAGGTCCAATTAGAAGTTTTAGCTATAATTAAATTTGCTAAGAAAAGAAATAAATTAAATTATTTACTGTCGTGTTTTACTGACGTTAATTTCAATGATCTTAGGTAGGGATTTAAAGGTCCAATTAGAAGTTTTAGCTATAATTAAATTTGCTAATGAAAGAAGTAAATTAAATTATTTACTGTCGTGTTTTACTGACGTTGATTTCAATGATCTAAGGTAGGGATTTAAAGGTCCAATTAGAAGTTTTCGCTCTAATTAATTTAGCTAAGATAAAACGTGATTTAAGTTATTTAATTTTTTTTTCTTTACCGATTTCTTAAATTTAAGAACAGTGACACCCTTCAAAGTATTAAAATTATTGGACATTTTCGCACGCACAATTATCATATTCTTTAGCAAATATACATTTCTACTCCACCCGTGTTTTAATTAAGTTTTCGATTATGTTTGTGATATTTAAAAAGTCGCTATAATAAGTGAGAAAATAATGCGCGTTAGCTGTACTGTGATTGTCAAGACATAAGTATTGTTTAAATCGTAAAAGATTTCGATAATGGTAATGTGTTGATATGAGATTTTCCCTTCAACGTTTTTCAATTGATACGAGCCATTTGTCAATAAATGACAAGCAACGAACCTTTTAGTTGAATAAAAAAATGAAATGTTGTAACCCTTTCAGGTCTGACCCCCATAACTCGCGGTCAAGTGATGATAGACGGCATGGATGTTACCAGAAACCTGACAGCCATTAGAAAAACCCTGGGCTTCTGTCCTCAGCACGATTTGTTTTTTCCCAGACTCACAGTCTACGAGCATATGGTCTTCTACACTAAGGTAGCAATCTTTTCTCGAGTTTCTTTTAAGTCCTTAAATTTTTAGTCAATGTACTTTTTACTAACGTTCGCAATCTACGAGCATATGGTCTTCTACACTAAGGTAGGTGTCTTTTACCTGCTTTGTTTTGTTTTAGTGTGTGCGCTTTTTGCTGATGTTGTAAAATCTTCTAGCAAGGTATCTTCTACAGTTAGGTAGCTTCTCTCTGCTCCGTTTTGTCTTAGTCCTTTATTTTTTTAGTCAAAGCACTTTTTAGCGCAATTTCCATTCTGGAGAATTGCGTTTATTAACCCGTCATTTCTGGATGTATGAATGTATGAATGTATGAATGGATGGATGTGTGTCCGCAGCTTTAAGTCGTATCTCCTCCTCAACGAAGCAATATCGATGACTAGTTCCAAAAGCAATTATGTTAAGCAAGTTACGAGGATGAACATAGGCTTTAAAATTCCGGGTTTCTTTCATGGATTTCCCGGAAAAGCCAAAAAACCTCGAAAAAAGCAGTTTTTAGCCCATATCTCGGCAACCAGACCACTTAGCGACTTGAAACATGTACCAATCGATTCCTGCTATAATTTAGAACAATATTGCCGAAGAAAGTTTTCAAAAATATCCTTTCGTTCGGTCACAAAAAATTTTTTGAATTAATTAAAATTTGGACCCAATTAGTAGGCATTTTTTCCAACCACACCACACGCGTCATCACGTTCAATAGCTGCACCATCACGTTCTATGGCTTCGTCATCACGTTCAGTAGCTAGGCGCGCAATGTGTTTTAGTCATGTAACTCTATTGTAAATAAAACATGTATTTTAACCAATGGTTTTACTAACCCTGCTCTTGATTTACTCTACGACAGAGCTATTTTTAGATAACATAAGGAAATTGCGCTAAAATTGTCACTAGACTTTTTAATTAACTTGTTAATGAGTTTGGCAGTGTACGAGCATAATGCTCTTCTAAACAAAGGTCTCTTTTTTTACTTTGTCTTCCTTCAATTATAGCCTGGTTTAGATTTGAATCTGAGTTAAACCGAATCTCACAGTAGTGCAACATATTAAAAACTCAGTTCTTTTAACCATTTATGTAGATACATTTGTGGTTATTTCAATTTGTAGCAAAATTTTGGCATGGCGGAGACTAAACAAACTTCATGGTGCTATACAATATGTACATTGTCGTTAACTTCGAAAGTGGAATACTATTTTTTTACATCCGAGTTTTTGTATTCTGAGAAAAATACTAAAGACTTGCACGCCCCATATGCAGAGGCGTATCGATGGGGTGGCAGGGGGGACATACGTCACCGGGCGCCGACCTTAGGGGGCGCCAAAATGGGTTGTAAAAACAAATTAAAATGTCATTTTAGCTGCATATTTGCAGTTTGAGGGTGGGGGTGTGCAAATCGAAAGTTTGAGGGGGGGTGCAAAATTAAAATTTGCTCCAGAGGGGGGCACCAAATTGAAAGTTTGTCCCCGGGCGCCGGAAAGGATCGCTACGCCTCTGCCCATATGTACAAAATACCCGTAGATGTACACACATACCATAACCATAAAAATCCGTCTAAAAATCTGCCATAAACATAAAAACTCATTTTTCAGCATTTGTTAATTAAAGCAAATTTATCTGGCGTTGTTAGTTAGGAAGTTCGCTTTATCGCTTGTTTTTTTTCTGTGATCTTTTCATCTTAATTGTGTCTCGTCATAATCAATACTGATTTGCATCTAATGACTCAAAAGTAAGCTTCAAAGTTAACAATGAAACATCTGCGTAATGTTTTATTTATATTTCTAACATCTTGCACCTTGACTGACAACCATGATTCCAACGTTGACACGACAGATGAGGCACGACAGCATCACGAAAAAGGAAGCCTACCAACTGCTGACGGAGTTGAATCTTGAGAAGAAGATGAGCACCAACCCCTTGCTCTTAACGGATGGCCAGAAAAGAAAAGTTTCCATTGCATGTGCTTTTGCTGGGAACACGAAGGTATTATCTTAACAAAACTGTGTGCAGTTCCACGACAAAATATCTTCCGACAAAACAACCCCCAAGACGCACATTCTCCGGATAATAACATCCAGAAAAAAACTATTTCAGGACAAAAAAATAACATCCGGGGAAAATATTTGTTTCAAATATCCAAGGACAAAAATGTCTTGTGAAAAATTATCCACAGGCATAAATATACCTGGAAAAATATACTAGGATAAGATATCACTAGGCAAGAATATCTTTTGAAAAAATAACCCAGATAATAATATCCTATTAAAAATTATTACCAGTAAAAACACATCAAGATAAAATATTACAGAAAACATCACAGATAAGAATAATGGCACATTTTCGATTATACCACTATCTTCTTCATTTCTTGCTCTAACTAAAAATAAGCTCAAACTTGCAAGGGGTACCTAATCCTGTCAGTTTGGTAACACCTACACTGAAAGCTGTAGAATACTGCACTTTACTAGAAACACTGGCGCTAACAAATAGTTTTATACTGAATCTGATTACCCAATGTAATTCAGTTTGCATTTACTACAGACAAACTACTAACCAGATGAAAATTTTTTGCACTGAAAAAATATCGTCGTTTTGTAAATCGGTAAAAAGAATTAACTACAGATCGAATATAAATCTTTATACAAAGCAAACTACTTACTTCATAAAAGGCAAACGATGGCCTCAATTTTTTTTTACAAACAGGCAAGCGATACAGTGTAATATATCTACATATCAAAAACTGTCCCAGTATAAATCAGTTTTATAAACAAACTGTTTTGGCCAAATTAAAAGTGTCGAAATATTTATTGTGAACACACTGACACACGTAACGGCAAATCAAGTGCGTCACACAACTTATGAGGCAAACAACCACAAACGTGTCACACAACAAGACTAAATAAATCAACGATCTTTACAATAAGAAATAAAAGTAAAACACAAACCTAGGCCCAGAGACGTAGCGAGGGGTGGGGGGTGACACCAAAGCAAAAAATAGTAAAATATATAGAGTAAAATTTGAGGGGGGGGGGGGGGGTAAATCGAAAGTTTGAGAGGGGGAGGGGGTGCAAATCGAAAATTGAAAGTTTGTCCTCGGGAAGAGTCGCTACGCCTCTGAGGTGGTGACAACATTAAGTGCCGCACCGGGTGACACCCGACCTCGCTACGCCACTGCCTAGGCCACACAACTGAAGTAACCAGCACAATTATAAACTAACCTGTGATAGGCCTGTTTAGATAGATGTAAAGCACATACTCTTTATAGGGCTGGTAAGTAGGTCACCAACCAGCTCTATGGCTCATATAGGTTTTATTTGAGCCGTAGAACTGGTTGGTGACCTACTTAACAACCCTATACCCGTACACAAACAAGTACAAACCGGACTATGATCACGTGATTAAAGACAACTCACAACACGAATGGTCAACACTTAGGTGACGGGGCTGGTTACTACAAACAACATTCACCCCACCCCCTTCATTCATTCACTACAATATCAAACACTGTTTTATAAATAAACTGCTGTGCCAATGTAAAACTATCTAAACGAGCTGACCCGCGCCGTAAGTATACGCCGCTATCTAGTTGTTTTATTTTATGCTTTTCAGAAATTCATAATTTGTGAATTCAGCACCACCAATGCTGCGAATGAAATATTTTGCTTTAAAACACTATCAATAGCTTGAGAAGGACGATTATTACCCCCCCCCCTTTCCCTTCACTAATTCGACCCGGCTCTACCATTGTAAATATTAGGCGTGAACTACAGCTCACCAGACTTGTGGGGGCGTGGGTGGTATCGATATGGTCTGTTGAACATGCCTTGAGAGCGAGGGAGGGGGAGATTTGGCGTGCCCATACGTCGTGTCCCGCATGGTCCCTCGATACGCCGCTATCTAGTTGTTTTATTTTCTACTTATTAACAATTCATAATTTGTGAATTCGACACTACCCCACCCCCTACCTCCCCCACCCCGCCCAGTGAAACCAGCCGTTTACAGACGACAATGAAAATATCAAGCAGAACTTATTATATATATCCCCTTAGTTTCAAATCGTTTAAAAACTAAATTATCTGTCCCTAATAGCCGTCACTTATTCGAACCGGCTCTACTATTGTAAACATTCGGGGTAAACCACAGCTCACCTGACAGGTGGGGGATGAGAGTGGTGGCTAAGCTGCGTGGTGTCTCGTATGGTCCCCATGAAGAGAATTTATATATATATATATATATATATATATATATATATATATATATATATATATATATATATATATATATATATATATAAACTACACATCAAACACTGTCCAACTGTTAATCTGACCACAGACCATATTCCTGGACGAGCCGTCAACTGGCCTTGACCCCAGCTCACGCAGACGACTCTGGCGCTGTCTGATGACCTGGCGCTCTGGCCGGACCATCTTGATGACGACACACAGCATGGACGAGGCCGACTACCTGAGTGACCGAGTCGCCATCATGGCCAACGGTGTGGTGGAGTGCTGCGGCACGCCCATGTTCTTAAAGAAGACTTACGGTACGGAACTCATAAGGATCTGTTTCCTTGTTAGGTAGTAGTGGCATATATATAATGTTATATATATATATATATATATATATATATATATATATATATATATATATGACACATTTTATCATACATAAGTTTACGTCAAATTGTCATCTTTTTATACTTGAAAGTAAATAGCGACCTCTTGGGTCCGCTTACAAAATGACAGCCTTGCAACACTGACTAAACAATCTCCGTTCCAAGTAGCTACTTATAATAAGATATCTTAATGTATAAGGATAATGTGTCTTACATAGGCTATACATTAATTCTAATTATGAAACACATTTTCCTCGATGTAGACAATAAGCTGACTTCACTTAAAACATGTATACACAGAAGTTCAATTGATAACATGTATCTACAGGCGTGGGCTATAAGCTGACCTTAGTTAAGGCTGCCAAATGCAAAGTAAAGAAAGTTGTTCAATACATCTTGAACGCTGAAGAGGCCGCCATTTTTAAGGTAACCAAATAAGCGCTTAAATTATGTTGTTTTAGAGGTGATTTGAGGGATAGCTGCGGTGTATCTACCGCATAGAAAAACATAAGGGCCCTGGGAATATAAGGGCCCTGTAAATATAAGGGCCCTGGGAACATGGGAACCCTGGAAACATAGGGTTTCTGAGAATATAGGGGCTGTGGGAATATAGGGGCTGTGGGAATATAGGGGCCGTAGGAATATAGGGGCCGTGGGAATATAAAAGCCCTGGGAACATAAGAACCTTGGGAACATTGGGGACCCTGGGAAAATAGGGACTAAATGCTCTTCTACACAAAGGTATCTTTTCGTCTTTTTGTTTTGACTTTGTCTTCCTTTAATTATAGCCTGGTTTAGATTTGAATCTGAGTTAAACCGAATCTCACAGTAGTGCAGCATATTAAAACCTCAGTTCTTTTAATCATTTATGTAGATACATTTGTGGTTATTTCAATTAGTTACAAACTTTACGCAATATAGGGCTAAATGTGCGTATCATTTTCCCTATCTAGTCTTCAACGAACACAGAGCTGGTATTTCTCCTGCCCGAATTTTGCGTCAGCGCTTTCCCAAAATTTCTGCAAGACTTGGAGGAAGATTTGCACTTGCTGAGGATACAGTCCTATGGTCTCTCTACCACAAGCATAGAAGATGTCTTCCTCAAGTAAGTCTTCCTCAGATAAGTCTTCAGTCTTCCTCAGGTAAGTCTTCAGTCTTCCTCAGGTAAGTCTTCAGTCTTCCTCAGGTAAGTCTTCAGTCTTCCTCAGATAAGTCTTCAGTCTTCCTCAGGTAAGTCTTCAGTCTTCCTCAGGTAAGTCTTCAGTCTTCCTCAGGTAAGTCTTCAGTCTTCCTCAGATAAGTCTTCAGTCTTCCTCAGGTAAGTCTTCAGTCTTCCTCAGGTAAGTCTTCAGTCTTCCTCAGGTAAGTCTTCAGTCTATCTACTACCAGCATGAATGGTAAGTCTTCATTCCACCACCAGCATGAAATACGTTTTCCTTAGGTACACCTTCCATTTATTGTCCTGATTAAATACTGGATATAAGGTGGACGTTGTATAAATCAGATAAATGATTCGTTTTTTATAAAAATAATGCATGAAAAGAGTGTAAATATATTGGTCATGAACATTCGATAATAAAAAATGCTGTTATTTATAGAATTTTGAAATTGTGCTGACCACACTATCTACTCAACAGTAGAAAAGGGAATTTTACCTACTTAACTTATAGAATGATATTATTTTGTTCATGACTGTACACGGGACGTTTCTTCTGGCTAGACAAAGTAAGACTAAACTCCTGTAGTGGACACAATCTTCGTGAGGTGTTAATTCACTTTACTAAATGCACGGTGCTCCAGTTCTAAAACATGCTCCCCCACTCATCTTTTGATTACCATGTAATGCGATGAAGTATAAACTAAACAAAAATTTACATGGAATTGCCTTATCCAACAGTTTTAGTGCTTAGATCATCGGCGTGACTTTGTAAATTCTAAGGTTTTGATTACTTTATTTCCATAAAAACTAAATTGAAAGATTATTCTAGAAAAAAAAAATATTTTATAAAATTGTTTAAAATGTGATAATATAGGTGATCTAGAAACACAATAGCACTTGAAGTAATTTTATGGTGTGGATGTGGACTTGTATTATTAGTGTTTTGTTATGCTAAACTTGTTTTGTATTTTCTTCAAACAGAATCTGGGAACTTGACCAGTCCAAGATAGACTCCGAAGATGTGTAAGCATAGCTAAAACTATTAAATGTTGACTTATTTTGAAAACATTACAAATCTAAATTGAGCGAAATCTATGACTTTTATTCTGACTAAAAGCATTTAAATTATAAATACATTGGAATACATTAATTTGAACCTCGTTGAATCCCTAATAGGGCTGGTAAGTAGGTCACCAACCAGTTCAACGGCTCACTAAAACCTGCGTGAGCCATAGAACTGGTTGGTGACCTACTTACCAGCCCAATTGGC